TAATTTCGGTTAGGTACTAAAAAAAATAATACTATAAAGATACCGGAAAAAGAGGAATGTAGGTAACATAATAGTAGTTCTTAACCTTTTTGGCTCTACCTTTAAATCAAAGAGGTAAAGTAATTTTATACCGGTAGCAAACCCTTATACCTTTACCGCTTTCAAGCGCTGATTTCAAACGATATTTTTTTTTATCTCTTAAGCTTATCTGCACTTAAGATAAATAACAATGAATGAAGAATGAAGGCGTTAAGATTTTCGTCGCTGTGGCCATCAGCCGTTTAGCTCAGTGGCTAGAGCGTCAGGCCGCGAATGCCGAAGACGTGGGTTCGATTCCCACAGCGGCGACAATCTTTTCGTACTTTTTCTACATGTTTTAATGTTCAATCTTAAGTGCAGAGATTAGCACTATAAAAAACTTTAAAATATACTTTTTTTGGACAAGAGAAAATAAAGAAGAGAAAATATGGATATATCGATTTATACATATTTCCCCTTCGATATATCGAAGTCGATACTGATATTTTTATAAATATCGATATATTTCTTCACATTTTACATCCCTATCTTAATATTGCCAGAAAAATAAATAGGAAAGTGTTATTTTATTTGTAAGATTTTTAATCTATTTTAATGTTAGTCTGGCGCAGTGTTTCGACACATAAATCAAGAATTACCGTGCTACAAGGGTAAAAACACGGTTTTTTTATACAAAATACGGTGAATCTGCTAAAAGTTTACCGTGTAATTTTTTGAAGGAAAAAATAAAATTTATGACCAAATCAGGTCTTGATTAAATTAGCTTTTTTAATTAGCCGAAAAAAATAAATAACATGAAAACATTGATCTCAACCCACTTAATAGAAAACTTAAAAACGTAAAATCTCTCTCTCTCTCTTTTAATTTAAAATTATGATTATTCTAAAACAAAAGCTTGATATTGAAACATTTCTTATACGACACGGTAATACGTTATTACCTTGATGGTAGATAAAAACCAGATAACGGTGCAGCTACGCTCATTACCGTGTATATGAAAACAATGATCCGGCGGCGGTTTCAGTTTCTTATGAAAAAGTCCGCGGGTACATGACTGGTGGACAATGACTTAAGAGAATAATGTACCAACAGCATGACGACGACCCGATGGCGTCGTCTACACCGATGCAAACATAAAATTAAAAAAGAAAGTTAAAAGTTTCGTAATTAATTGTTCAATGAGCGAACGAACTATTAAATAGGTTACAATAACAATATGGCATAAGCGATTCAAAAACGACCTAGCACATAGCTATATCGTATATAATGTAGATTGCAGATCGGGAAACTCCCGTTCACCGGTGAACGTGGGGTGCCAGGTGTGTTTAAATTATGTCTGTGTGGGGCATCTCTTACCACGTTCTTGCCACAATGCGTGTTGGCCGACATGAGTGAAAATAAAATAAATCTTTTTTTTTTCTTTTCCATTGTACCTAAAATATGAATACATTTTACTGCACACCTTCTGCACACCTTAATTAAACAAATTGTTTGTTCTGTACTGAAAAATACGTTGAAATTGCGTTCGTAAGGTTATAATTGGTTAAATTTAAGCCGCGCATTTCTTTTTCATTTGTGTGAAAATGTTTTAAAGATATCGAAGCTCACCTTTTGCAGCGCAGCAGGAATCTTAAAGACGGAAACTTTTTTTATGTGAGAAGGTGGCAAGTAAGCTGGTGGTTCACCTGATGTTAAGTGATGACCGCTGCCCATGAATATTTGCAACAACGGTAGGGTTGCAGACGTGTTATCACCTTACAATAAAATCGGCTCCTCACTCACCAGATGGACTTTCCAATTCGCGCAACAGCGCAAACTGTTGCGTGGTCTTTCCACGGTTAAATTTAGAGAAGGATACCTATAGAACGTGTCTAAGTTTATTTGAAAAACTCTTTACAAATCTGTCGTGCGCTAGACGAAACGTAATAGCAGCTAAAATATAACACTTCCACTTCGTAGGTCGTGGTACTTCCACGGATGGACTTTCCAATTCGCGCAACAGCGAAAACTGTTGCGTGGTCTTTCCACGGCTAAATTTGGATACCTATAGAACGTGTAAAGTTTATTTGAAAAACTCTTTACAAATCTGTCGTGCGCTACTTTCTTTAAAGATTGTGAAATTAAAAAAAAGAAAACACCGGTTGTACATATATTATATCCAGACCGCTACAATTTACGGACCTTGACGAAGAGCTTAACCCTTCAGCCGGCAACAATTTCGAAATATTTCGAATGTTCTAAAGATCCATGGCGGCGCTGTCCTTACCGCCTTCACTACTAAAAGTATAATAAAGGTACAGTTTCTCTCTTAAGCATGTACTATTGCAATTTGCATATTAAATCTTGGTTTGTATATTAAATCTTGGTTTATCGAATGATGTTTTCGTTTCAGTCAGTCCTTAGACTATTAAGGTTTAAACGCAGAGCAGGAGGAACAAGCAGTATCCGCGAGCCTGATAAGACCCTCCACGCTGGGTAGGGCCGCGCATGTGCTCAAGCGGCATGTAATAAATACACTGCAATATGTAATGTGATATCCTAGTTCTAATCCTATTATGTGAAGGATGACATAAAGGGCAATTTTGATATAAATACAATATTTAAAATGACTATCATATTTATTTAAATAAGAAGTATGTCGGTAAATATACTTACAAATAAAGCACTCTTATAAACCAAATTTGAAATTCGTAATAACAAAAAAAAACCGACTTCAATCAGAAAATTTATAATACATGTGAACATTGTTAATACCTATAACATTCAATGATGGCCCCCCCTCGATTTCTCTGGGATGCCATCATCAGATCCGGGTTTCCTTATCATGGTACCACCCTTGGGATATCTCCTTTCCAACAAAAAAAAAATCATCAAAATCGGTTCTTAGCGACGAAGTTATCCACGAACACACATAAAAAAAATATAGGGTCGAATTGAAAAACCTCCTCCTTTTTTGACGTTTAACGATGCCATATCGTTTTAGTTAAGATCTTTTAAAGTACAATGGTACCATAAATTATTTTCGAGTTACACAACTATTTGCACAGCGCACACCTTGAAAGCTCTCAGATTTTTTTTTAATGATAAAAGCTGATGTCGTAGGGAAACAAATTAAAGAATTCTTTCTAAATATAGTTTTAATCTTAAAATCTAACTAAATGTTGCACTAAGACACTTAATTGATAAAGTAATATAAATATTGATTTGGAATAATAACTTAGAAAAGAATTCAAAAATGCATCATGTATGTGTTGACAAAAATGTGACTTCAAATATACAATATCAACTATAAATAAAAAAATAAGAAATTAATGAATTATTCACTAAAAGTGAGTGAATAAAGAACAGCTGCCCTGTTAAAAATAATATCCGAAAAAATTATTACTTTTCTAATGGTTATTTATACTTTTATTTAATAGTTGAATTATATACAATATAAAAGTGTTCTGTGCTGTATAAATTATTCATAACACTCTACATCACAAATTCATACAAAATTTGGAAGTGAATGGAATCCCTGTGCCAATCTTCCCAGCTGTTTACATCTTATAAAGTCCCATATCTCTTGACATCTGATAAATCATGATTTGTCGTAACTCCGGTTGTTTTCAAGTAATATCAAGTGAAAATTGAAGGATTTATAGATTCAATCAAGTTTGTTTTTTATTATGATTCAAATATGTAACATTTTAGTTTCGTAACGGAGTTATGATAACAAACCAGATGTCATGAAAATGGTCCCATCATTGTCTACTACAACTATTGTATTTTTAGCTTTTGTTGCTTTTAAACCCCATTAAAATAGGCATTATCAATAATTTAATAAACTGATATAAAAATAATATCAAATATACTGGAGTATTAAAAGCAATTATCTAACTTTAAGAAAGAAAAGTCTAACACAAAATGTTACAACTAAACAGTGTGGTCAGTCCCTAATTTAATATCCATTAAATTTGCGCAGCAATATTACGAGTTCGATTACACAACACAACACTTTACTTGTAAAAAAATAATAGAGACACTAAAGGTGTGATTTTATATCACAAATTTAAAAAAGTAAGAAGTCGTTAAATAAATATATATAAATATTAATCATAATATCACTAGTTACTTCATACAAATAAATTTAATTTATTTGGAATATCATCAAAATATAATATTATTTTTAGCCTAATGATATTATATTGTACGTAATTTGATACATTTGCATCGCGTATTTAATACAAATGGAGGCAACTTTAAAAGCATATCACTGGCTTATATTGTGAATACCAGAAATGTTTATATTATGAAGCTTCATAATATATACCATCCATTTTTCTTGATCTTCAATTTTACAGAAAAATATACTTGCATCTCTCTCATCCACTCCATAAGAGAAAATTTTAAATATCGATTCTACTTCATAGATGTTGCATTTATCAACAGTCGAGAGACGCTACTCAAACTATACGACGCTATATGTCAAAAGCTATAATTAATTTTGACTTGTACTTGTATCATAACTTTTGACATGTAACATCATCATCTAGACTCATCCATCTCATACATTCGATTCAGTACAATTTTACCACAACGAACCTCTAAACACTATACCGAGTATCACATATTATAAAAAAATATACAATAAATATATACCAACCAAACCGACTCGCAGCAGATTTTACTATTATATAGAAAAATATTTAGAAGAGCCAAAAGAACAAAGTTATGTGCAAAATATTAATGATAAATTATATCATTATTATTTTATAAATTCATTTCACTTTAATAATTATACATATTCCAATCAAAAAAGCTTTTAATCCAAAAGCCATTCTACAATATTGCTACCAATATAATGTAACACCGATTTGCCACAACTACCACAGACCACATCACATATATTAAATTATTATGTATATAATTCCTACGAGTGAACCTACGAACTGCGAGTCTTAATCTTCTTTTTTTGACTATAGCCCGTGTGAGAGAGACGGCGATAGTTTCTCTCTGTTCTTCGCTCGTGCACACTGCGAGTTGCTCGCCGTGTTGAGTGATCCGGACCAATCCGCGAGTGTGGGCACTGGCCGGTAGAATTTAGTCGATGTCCTGTTGAACACTGGGAGTAGTTCGTTCGCTTCATTTGACAGCGCCTAAATAGAAAAATCAATATACTTTTTAAGTATAAAATAAAAAAAACGAACACAACAAATATCGAAATTAAAAATCATAATGAATCGAATCGGTAAATATGATATATTGTTTGGACATATAATAAAGGAAAGCACCCTCCATCAACCTCTTAATGTTGACAAATAAAATAAGACGTTATTGTGGGTGTTTATTGAATATAAAACAGTTTACCCATTTCTTTTATTTCATATATAATATATTGGAACATGCAGCATACAGATGGGTCAATTCCAGACTGCAACTTATGTAAAACGAGATTCAAAGAAAACAAATACGTGAGTACTGATGTTATTTTGAAATATGTATTAATATAAATAAGGGTTATTTACTAACACGTTAATAGTTGTACCCAAGAGGCTCGAAACCATTTCCATGCAATTTGCCAAGATGCTACGATTCACAATATCGTTAACGCTGCCTGCCGTTTTAAAATAGCAACATGTTTCATATACACGATCGTGCTATTATCTCTTCATAGTTTAACAAAGATTTATTCTTTCAACGCTTTTATTCTTCTACTGTTGTATTCATCTGAACTTGAACAGTTAAAAACAATCAACATTACACTCTCTTAAAGATATATCAGTATTACACTGAGTTAAGATACCTTCAAATAGATGACGGCGTCGGTTCCGTAGCCTTCGCACGACATTAGCACAAGGTCGCCGTGGAAATAGCGGGCGTAGAGCCTCGATATAGGCAGCCCGTATCCGTAGCCTGCGAGAAGATTTGCATAAGTCAATTAGGTGTTTCCGGAAAGACCGACAGACATATTTTTGCACAACGTTATCTAGTCCCAAACTGAACAGTTTGTAAAATCCACCGAACGTTATTCCCGAGTGATAATAAAAACGGAAAAATTTTCCTTCAAAATGGAAAACTACTTTTTTGTTGTAGTAACAATCTTCTTTTTACCTCATTCTACAAAATATTTAGTAAACGACAATGAGTGTTCTCGATCTTTCGTTTTTGATTTTTAAATAATATGTTGTATTTGTAAAGATCGTATTAATAGGCTGTTTAATCAGTGTTTTTTCTGAGATTTATGCAAAACTCCAATGTTATGTTGTTTTGTTATGTGTATTACTAATGATGATGTTGTAACGAGAGAACCATTCTGAATTATCTGTTTATATAATGGTATTTCGTTTATAATAAAAAAAAATAAAAAAGGCATTTCATGTACTTTAAATAGTTGTAGTACAGGATTTACACAGTTTGTTTTTAGTCCTAAATGTGTCAATTGGTGAACTAAGTAGACCGGGCTCGGATTAGACATTGATTTGTGTACGTAACAATGCAATAAACAATAACACCGTGAAATGGTCATAACCGATAGCAAATCACGTATATTAAATACAACATCCGTAACGCCTTAATACATTCTGTACATTAATGTTCAAAACAGTCATAAATTCTTCAGTAACGGCACGACAGTAAGACAACAAAGTAATAAACATGATGATATAAATGAATTTCATAAAATTTCCAATGAAAAACTGTTTGAAACAATTGTCCAAGTAATAAACTAAAGGATTTTCTAAATCTTTGACTGCAGAATTGGATCCTAACTCATTAGCACTCCGACAGATTTAATTAACAATACATGCATGACTTTTAGAGCTAATTTTAAAGGATATAACATAATTAAGAACTCATATTGACACTCCATTATTTGACATTCGCGACCCAAGATTTGACGTCATACGCCACTGCAACACAATTACCTACTTACTGCATTATTATGTAAAATGTCTAAATAAAATATGTTTCATCGGAAGTGCAGAGACTAGCACTAAAATTTAAAAAATAAAGTAATTTATTTTTGTCCACAACAATCCGAGCAACAAGCTCTTTATTTTTGGTGGTAAACATTGTGTTCATAAAACACTTTAAAAAGCCAACAACGAATTAACAGCTTACCCACCGGTATTACAGTGTTGAATTGATTTTTTTATCTTTACCACCCACAAGCCACAGATAAAAACATCCAAACGCTGTGATTCATCACAATTGTGCTTAGTGTGTTGAGTACTAATAATTCTGGCAAAAGATTGAAAATTTCCGAATCGACGACCGCATGACGACAAACGTCAAGTCATCAACGGCGTAGGCTGTTGATGACTTGACGTTTGAGACCCCAGTCAATGAATTATTAATGACAACTAAACGTCGCATACATAAAGTAATTTAAATGTCTCTTATATATAAATTGTTTTATTTACATGTATCTCTATTCTATCACATTATTGTTACTCACATTATTAGTTATTTTGTAAAGTTCTCAATGCACGTAGAAGAATGTTTACATGAATCTTTATATAACTTTATCTTTAGATAACCTAGTAATAAATGGACTATCCATGGACCCATGGCCCATGCTTAGCCTTTGTTAATCGAATGCCTATTTGTTAATATTTGTACGTTTTCAGCCGCAGGAATTAAACCCGCGTCTTCCAGAATCGCGGACGGACGCTTTAACCGCTAAGCTAAACGACTGATTGAAACGCCGACGATATTTTTTCGCATTTTAGGCATCGCTTGACGCATTTGTGTTAGGCACCTATTTTAATTCACATAATAAACTGAAAATAGGTTCAGTTCTCAAGTTCATAGCACGAAAGTACGAACCATGTTCATCCATATATTGTAAATGCAATCATGTTTCTCAGTTTAACCTTTAACGCAGCACATGCTAAGGACCAAGATATTATATAGGATTTACTTTACTTCACTTCTACTCACCGGCCAGGGGTACAGTGTGCGAATCGGATTTTGATGGCTGAGGCGCGGTGCTGTACATGTACTTGAAGAGCAGATCCGAAACGCTGCGTGGTATGCCGCCACCCTTATCGGACATCTGTGAATAGTAAATAAGAATAAGAATAGTTTAACTGTGGTAGGGCCACGCGGCAGCCTCGGCTGTTGCACGAGTCGGCAGGCTCGTACGGGTAATTGCCACGACCTCACAGAAGACCGACGTGAAGTGGAAGTATAATTGTCTCGTTTCGTCAGGTGAGTGAGGTAACCGGAGCCCAATTTTCAAAAAGTTGTCAAAGCATCTGCAACCCTCGGGTGTAGCATATGTCCATGGGCGGTGGTATTCACTTAACATCAGGCGAACCGCCTGCTCGATTGACAACTTTCACATAAAAAAAGTTGACCCGTGCGAAGTTTACGCACTACACTGTGATCCAGTGATTCTCAACCACTGTGCCGCGGCACTTTTATGTCCCGCCAAATTTCAAAAGTGTGCCGCCAAATTTTGTAAATATATAATAATGTTAATATTATTAAATTATATCATTTAAAAAGAAAAATATTTTTTGGCACTAGCCAACATTAAAACTAAAAAAAGATCAATTTTCAAGATTGTTAATTGTAGATGACGATATAAGAGTAGCATTGTCATTTTTGCGACCAAATATAAATGAAATTATCAAAAAACATCAAGCTCAAATTTCGCATTAAAAATATTTTTATTATTAACTTGTAATTAATCCCTTAATAAACGTTTAGTTATTATTGTAGTATATATTAGTTTATTTCGTATATTTAAAATTTTTGTCATAAACTATTTATGCAGTGTGTTGTAGTAAGTAAATAATTTTTATCTTTTTTTTTTTTGTGTGCCGCCAAATTTTGAAATCGTTAAATATGTGCCGCAACAAAAAAAAGGTTGAGAATCACTGCTGTGATCAGTGAGTTTGTTATAGGGGAGCCCCGTTTAAATAATGTTTTATGCCATTTTTTAGTATTTGTTGTTATAGCGGCAACAGAAATACATTATCTGTAAAAATTTCACTGTCTAAGTATCACGGTTCATGAGATACAGCCTGGTGACTGACAGACGGATGGACGGACGGTCGGACGGACAGACGGACAGACAGACAGCGGAGTCTTAGTAACAGGATCCCGTTTTTGAGCTATAAGCATCGATGTCGCAAGTCGTGGCCTGGGATAAATATTTCGAGTTTTACGTTTGTAAGGAATTACTTACAAATAAAATTTGTAAGTAAATAATTGCACGAAAATACTTCTGCAATACGGTATGTGGTCAATAAGTTTCTATTAGGCATAATAAATCGAAAGCGAATGAGTATTGTGAGAGACAAACATCTAGTTAAAGCTTTTGTAAACAACTAAAGCAATTAACATGTCAGGCGATAGACTTTGGCGCCACAGATTGTGAGTTCTATTACTGCTCGAGACACGTATTTGTAAGATAATTTTTCCGGACGATATGTCCACTGCAGCAAATTATTATTAAACCGTGTTTGCTTTAAAAGTTCTTTGCATGGTGTTAATAATTTACGGTAAATGAATATATAAGGAAGTCAAAAATAGATTGAGGCGTCACGTCGATTTGTATTATAGTGGAGTCTCAAACGAAACGATCACACTCGATCATGCGCTTGTCACTTCCTAGAAGAGCGTCACAATATTTACGATAACTTACGACGCTATTATGACTCTAATGTGCAATGTGTACATGCAATTTAACAAAATTATACCAATAAAAATCAATAGATTTGCACTTCACGTAATGATAGACTACGTCACGTTATCATATTGGTAAATCATTAAGATTAGGTTTTTAATTCGCAGAAATTATTATCGATATAGGAAGTTATGATAAATTAATTTGTGTTCAGATGAATATTTGTTCGTGACGCGATGGAATCGAAACACGTGATTTTCGAATCTAAATTTTCATTTAGCATGATAATTTGTTATATTTACACGATCATAACACATTACGTGAAACTACTTTTTTTTATTTAAATTCCCAACTGAATATCTCGCAGCATACATGTTCACGGTAACGATACGTTCGAAATTTCCGGAATTAAATTCAAAATTAACTCGAATTAATCATTAAAATATATCTTTATAAAAATTAAGATATTATTCAATGAAGAAAATTCAAGAGAGAATAGTAACGACATTAATCATATGGCTGAGGAGGTAAATGAGTGAAAACATAATGATTTCCACAACTACCGTGTCATCCCAAATTCTGATTGCTGCTAGAACGACGCAGCAGATGTTAACATTTTCTCCGCCTTAGTCTGTTGGTTAAAGCGCAACTTGTATCCCTGGTAAAAACAATTTAGCACGAAAATGTTTAAAAAGAAGTTAAAATATAATACATGATGACTGATGGAAGCAGCAATATTTTGATAGTTCATTGGATAAACAAAGAGAGCTTTCCAGAAAACACTTATATTTGACAAAACATACTTTGAAGCATATTTGTGTAAAATGACCCTGTGTGTACTAATTTATTTATAATCGTGTGTATTCATGTATAATTCATAGGATAGGAAGTGCGATGGTATGAATCGGTATCAAACAAACGAACAAGCGCTGACCATTTTTTAAATTGCTCTCGCAAGAGTCGTATTATTTCGTATATAGATTTATTTCACGGAGTGCAATAACGCTCGCATCAACAATTTATAGAGGACGCAAATATTTGACTTTTGTGGAGCTCGAACTAAAAACACGGCGTGTATTAACAATTGGCAAGACGCCATATTGTTCAACATAGTAACAAGGTGATTAGATACAATTACATTCTACCTTTAGGAGGCCTTTGCCTACCAGTGGCACATTTAAAGGCTGATACTTTATGAGCCCCGATAGCTCAGTGCCTGGGCGCTCGCCTTTAAATCAAAATATACTCCAGCAACTTAGGCTCAAATCCTGTTGCCGGAATTAATATTTTTTTTTTTATTTTAAGTGCTGTTTTATGACGCGATTAGTGGTGAGGTTAAACATCGTGAGGATACCGGCATATATTCAAAATAATAACAAAAAAACATTTTTTTCGAATATTTGCGAAGTCCGCCAATCCGCAGTGAGGTCTCGTGGTGCACAGTGTCCTGATACCCTCTGTACAGAGGAGGCTTTGCCCCGCAGTGGGATATGTATAGGCTGCTATTTTACTTTCTAATTTAGATTCTACCCGTAGTAGTTGTTCACGTAGTAGTATCACGTAGTTTGATTAGAACGTACACTTCCAGTCATCTTTAGGGCCTTGATTATCGTGAGGAACACGAAAAAGCGGTAAACCTTTACCCGCCTTCATTACTTTGCCCTTGAGCCACTATCATAGGTCTGATACAGTTCCGATTAAATAGTTAACGGGAGTTCAATAAGATGCGACCTCCGATATAAGGAAGAATCGTTTGTTTTGTTCAAGAACAAACGTGTTCAGCACCATTGCACATTGTTTGCGCACAATGCATATCTATTTATACTCGATGCAACTTCACCTGTTTTTGTTCGCACACAAGGGGTCACTGTTTGTCTATCTATCATAATAACTGTTTGTTTGGATGTTCAGGGGAATGATTGTGTTAAAATATATAAAATATGATACAGAAGTATATATTCATATGTTATGAAACTAAATTTAAAAGGAAACTATTAATAAAGACCAAGTAGGTTAGGAATACGTTTGTATATAATAGTTCATATATAATAGTTCTTGTAGTACAGCCTGTGTTATATATAACGTATAACAAGGATCCGTCCGCTCCGCTACAAATCAAATACTTTGAAGACTCTGTGGCGTGGCCAAGTTATCGGCTTCAGCGTCGGGGGTCGCGGGTTCGATTCCCACACGGAGCAAGTATTTGTGTGACCTATAAACAATTTTCACCCAGTATTTGTTGCCGCAATGCAAGGGATGTGCGTTCCTCCGGAATTCGGCCTGGATCGGCAAAGCAGCGAAGGAATTGAGGAACGTATTGATGAGCAGTATAGAGGGGCACCGGTGTATTTACCGATTTAGCCGGGGCCCACTTTATTAAAAGGTGGCAACGCATCTGCAACCCTATGAGTGTTGCAAATGTCCATGAGTTAGCGGTTATCACTTAACATCAGGGGAACGGCCAGCTCATCTGCCACTTAGTAATATGAAAAAAAAGTGTTACCTTAACGGAGATATCTTCTCTGCCGTTGACCAGGTTGACTTGTATCGGTGGGGGCGCGTTCTCGTGGGTCTCCATGACCGCCCTCATGGCGTTCTTGAACAGCTCGAACAGCATGTGGTAGAGATGCGATGGCACGTACACAATTGGCATGGGACGGTCGCTCGCCACTGTAGGAACATTTCACTTAGGTGTCTATGTGATGTGTATCTTTAACGTACTTGTATTTATGTGAGAAGATGGCAAGCGAGCTGGATGACTAATGTTAAGTGATAACCGTTGCCCACTGATATTTGCAACACCCTTAGTGTTGCAGATGCGTTGCCAACTTATATTAAGTGGGCCCTTATTATCTCACTCACCAGACGAAACGCAGAAGTACGGTATAAAACTTAGACTTCGCTCCGTTCTTCTGTGAGCATTCGTGCAACTTTTGCGTGGTCCTACCACAGATAAAATATCGAACATACATGCTTACAACATTTTTGTATTTACGTATACATGTATATAGTTTAATCAATATTAACTTTTAGTAGATGATGCTTTCGCTCCAATTCATATGGACTTGGGGAAAAATCGCACGATTTAAAAATGTCATCTTTGTGTAAATTGGCAAAAACAAAACAGTCTACTCTGTTGTCTTCCGTTTTCTTCTTTTTTTTATTCAATAGCTATTTATTTCGACTAGTGGGCGAACATTACTCAAATTAATTTGTGTGTTACATAATAAAACCATCGAAATCGATATTGATTGGCTGTAATCATTTTTATTGCCTTTGCAATTATAGAGTGTGTATCGAGTAATTGTTATCCGTATCTATAGATTATTACGCAGTTGTTTCTATACGTTCATGAGCGATTGCATCTCAAGGTTGATCAAGGTCTTTCGTAATGATGTATCGTTTGATTGGAACTGGTAACTTATATTGTGCGATATCCGGAAGGATACCTTTACAAGATATTCCGTCTTCTACGAAGATAGGGTTATTTGGAACTCCTTCCCAATAAAATGTTATCTAAAATTTATACTAGCTGAAACTAATGTATTAAATTAACATACAAATAAAATAAATTAATTCAAGTATTTAAATTGATATTATGCATCGTGTTTTTTTCATCGTCATTTATTTTTTGAAAACATTTGCGATTCATTCAGTATCCCGTTATGATAATGTCGACTTCCGTCGTCCATCTCTCTCATACATCATGCTGTCTCTTCAACACGAGAAAAAACAAATACAAACATACACTCTATCTTCCTTATCGCTTTCATTTCGTATCCCACATACAAACCATTACTACTGTTTTCTGTTTTAAGGGTTGCCAAAGCAACCGTAACCCTTTGGCGGAGTAGATGTCCATTGGTGAAGGTGATCCCTTGCCACAAAGTGCATCGCCGGCTCGCTCACCAATATTTCACAGAACAAATATATTTTTCGAAACAAAAAAATAAAACGGTCTTCAAATCTATCAGTCATTATACATTTTCTATTTAATTGGAAGCAGTTCCCTAACGTATCACCGTAGACCAAAAATAGCAATGAAATTCTAGGACCACACGGGAGCCCAATGCAAAAAAAACTTTTTAAATCCATTCATAAATACGGTGGTAATGGGCAAGCCCGTCCAGGTAAGTACCACGATCTCACAGAAGACCAGCGTAAAGTGGAAGTATGACAAATACTTTCGCGTTTCGTCTGGTGAGTGAGGTAGCCGGAGCCCAATTTTCAAAAGGTTGTCAACGCATCTGTAACCCTCGGGTGTAGCAGATGTCCATGGGCGGCGGTATTCACTTACCATCAGGTGAACCGTCTGCTCGTTTGGCAACTTTCACATAAAAAAAAATTACGGAGTTCTGAGGAAAAGAGTCAGAAGGAGGCAAGCGAGCTGGCGGTTCATCTAATGATAAGTGTTAACCGCCGCCCAGTGAAATTTGCAATATTTGCAACATTGCCGTTTGGTTGCAGATCCATTGCTTTTAATGAAGTGGGCCCTGACCACCTCACTCACCACACGTAACGCAGAAGTATAACACTTCCACATCACACGAACAATTTTTTTATGCAAGCAGGTGGCGAAAGAGCTGGCTGGGAGTGAGGTCATGCAAAAGTGAAGAATGTTTCGTGGTCCTACCACCGGTTAAACTTCTTGTAGTCGATTGAAAAGGACTCACCGCCGTCCTGGAGCAGCTCGAGTTCGGGCGAGGCGAGGTAGTAGCGGTCGCAGAGGAAGCGCGCGTTCTCGTAAGCGTCCCGTACGACCGCAGCGACGTCGCAAGCCGGGTCTATCGAGCCGATGTGGCGGCCGCCGCAGCCCATTCCGTTCACGGACGTCTGCTTGCCGATCTGCTCGCCGAACAGCAGCGCTGTACAAGTTGCACAAGTTGCGACGTCACTTAACCGACAATGGTCACGTGGTCTTGATATTGTAATTGGTCTATATTCCGTGATTTTAGTTTTGAAGTTATAGTGCTCCTTTTGGAGCGTTAGTAGTAGTAAAAATTATGACATAATTTTTTTATGATAACGCGCACAGTGCAGCTGCATGAAATTAACACCATGATGTTTTTCGGCGATTTTAAATTAATCGAGTCAGCCGCTAAATCTTTCTTTAGCTGTGTATGACTGTGTGATGCATGATCAATAATGTGTTAATAAAATCTCAAAATATTGAAAATGAATTATATTTTTTGGAGTTATATTTATTATGTTACGCCAAAGAAGTGTATTTCCCACGTGCATACAAAATACTTGCACACGTTTTTGTATTATTGTTATCTTTGTTTCATTTTAACATTACGTGTTATACCTTTTTTTTGGTACAACCAACGTCTATTTTTACATTTTCCAAATGTGTGCCACGAAGCTTTTTCCATAGAAAACCTGTTGGCACATTGTCAGCCAGCCGCCCGCCCTATAGCGCATTCGATTTGAATATCTCAAAATATATATATCACTAGCTGCTGCCCGCGACTACGTCTGCGTAGAGGGGTGAAAATTTAGGGTTGTATGTATTTTTGTATGCTGTGTCATAAAAAAATAAAAACAAAAAATTTTGCCTAAAAAATAAAAATAAAAATTTAGGGGTGGACTACCCTTAACATTTAGGGGGGTGAAAAATAGATAGTAGCCGATTCTCAGACCTATTGAATACGCATATAAAATTTGGTAAAAATCGGTCGAGCCGTTTCGGAGGAGTTCAAGTTCGAACACCGTGACACGAGAATTTTATACATTATATATATATATCATATGCCTCGAACATTCCTCAACCATAACGTTTACTAAATTGATGTTTAAAAATACAATTACAAATTTTTTTGGAGGACTTCAAATATTTTCAAAATATTTTTATTTTTGTTATTACTTCGAAAATATGCAAGTTTCCTCACGGTGTTTTCCTTCACCGATGAGTTATCACGTCCTCATCGGTCAGTACTTAAAATTAACAAATTCATTGGTGCTGGCACCGGGGATCGAATTTAGGTTGCTTGAGTAAATTGAATTAAAGGCGAGCGCCCGGACACTGAGCTATCATGGCTATATGTATATATCATAAAATAATTTCCTTTAAAAAAATACAACATTACTTTTTTTCAACGGTAACAGTAAGTATGCCGCACATTTACATTCTTAGGATTTCTAATCGAGCAATTTGGGCATGTAAGGAAGTTTCTAGACAACATATACGTAGCATATGGAACGAGCTTACCAACAATAGCGCAGAATTGATTATGCATCGAGGACATGCGGTATAGGAAATGAAGCATTAGGAGGAAGTACTGTTCAAAGGATATTGTGTAGTACTTTGCACTGTTTAGTAGGAAAACACCTTGTGAGCGTGAACCAATTGAACAGGTATTAAGTCATAAATTATTGTCGTACGTAAGAGTAAGAAAGTTTAGAAATACATCCCGTAAAGCATGAATCAGGAGTGAACAGGACGCATTGCTAAATAAAACTAAATCTTCGTAACGTTGGTAATTAAACCAAAATTCGATACATAATAATTGGTAAATTTGGTTTTACGAAGTGAAAAATTATGAAACGTTTATAATATAAGATATAAAATAACATAAGAGATTAAACGGGTTAAGAATTATACTGGTTAATTTTATAAATACACAATCGGTGTATTATTTCAGTAAAGTGTGCATTTTTAATAAAAAAAAGAGGTACAAAAACTCGACGTTGCGAGATTTGAGCGTATAACAGAATCTGCGATAACGCGCTCTGATTTCTGAAGACTAAGGTTCGAATCCAGCAGCGCCGAGTTTTTGTCCTTTTATCTACATTCGCAGTCACGTTTAGTGCAGAGACTAGGGATTAAAATAAAATTAATCATAAAAATCTTATTTATTATTAATGCTACCGAACAAACGGATTTTTTACACAATTAACCTTCTGTTAATCGAATTAATTTGAAGGATAAACGATATAGTGTACCCAGACACGATAGTCATATGGAGCTTTTAACAAAATTTTCGTTCATAGAAACTTCGTTCCCATGATTCGTGATCCAATATTAATACATGGGACAGAAATCGCCGCTACAAATAAATTATAGACGGGATAACATGAGTAATGCTGAAAAGGAAAATAGACTGTGTAGCATTTGACCTCGAGATTGTATCAATATTAACTTAGTTTTCTTCAACCTTGTTTGCCGACACGCCTTCGCTTCCAAAGGCGAGGGCACGATAATATAAGTACTATGCATAGTACTTAAGACCTATCGATTGACCTCTTAGCTTTCAGTCTGATCGAATTTTAAGGTATAATTGCACAACCGTTATAGCACGGTAGAAGAAAATATTGAAAGTATTAGAAGACTGCAAAAATAGGCCAAGGTGAATAAGACTGGTCGAGGCCTTTAACTCTTGAGCACTCGAAGAACCTTAAACAAATCCTGTTTTCTTGACGTAGGAATTATTATATCGTTAATTGAAAATAAGTAAATTTACACACTCTCAACGGTCAACATCGCGAGGATCAACAAGATAAGAACTCAATAAATCGATGTCGTTCTGTCGACTATATCCACTTTCCTCTTCTACATCTGGCAATATCCCAAATAGATTAAAATTTTTGCTCTCACGTGAAATTAGATGTTTGTAGCCAATAAAGATAAATTAAGAAGAATTAATGTTAATAATAAAAATAAAAAAAATAACTCTTCGCTTAATCCATCGTGTGGCAAAATCCACTTACTGTGCTGGTTGATGAGCATCCTTATCGATATCCGGCTCATGTAGAAGCGGTCCAAGAAGTACTGTATCGAGTTCTCGGTGCCGAAGTCCACTTCGTGCGACTCCTTCAGCTCCAGGACGCCCTGCGCCATCGTCTGGACCACGTCCGCGTGCCTGTTGCGGATGTGCACCAGCCTCTCGCAGAACCTGTCCAAGATCGACGCTCTAAGGTGACACAATAACGCAAAATTAAACTGTCACATTAATATAGTTGACTGATACTCGTATTATGAAGATGTACATTTTGCGCTGTAAGGTGACACAATAAGGCGAGAATGAAACTGTTATTTTGTTTGTGGGGTAAATCTTTTTCGGGGCAATCCCTGAAAAATAGTATCCTTATTCTTAAGTAAGAATCAGGAAGGTATTTGATAATTTGAGTACCACAAAAATATGTAAGCGTGTCGACCATCATTAATTATTGATGGAGAACAATCGCTGAATATGCGTTATTGATGTTTTTATTTAAATTTAACTAGCAGCAACTTTTAACAGTGGTAGGTCCACGCAACAATTTACTGTTGCACGAATGGGGGCAGGTCCGCCTGGGGAAGTACCACGACTTCACAGACGACCGCTCTGAAGTGGAAGTGTATGTATACTTCTGCGTTTCGTTTGGTGAGTGAGGTAGTCGGTGCCCACTTTATTCAAAGGTAGCAATCTGTAACCCTACGCGTGTTGACCATAGGCGGCGGATATCACTTAATACCAGGTGAACCGCCAGCAAGCACACGGGATGAATCAAGACCACACAAAATCAAGAGCGGTTTTAACCTCATCAGTCACTCATCCGTTACTGATTTAACTCAGATTTAGCCAGAGGTCATCAAAAGGTAATGAGATCACATACATTCTGAATAATTATATTACCTTGATTAAGAAACGGAAAACTCACTGGCTCAAGATCGGCGGCTCGGGTTCCATCTTTTCGAATTCGATGATCTCCTCGAACGATCGTTCGTACCACTGGTTCACCATTCCAACTGATGGCATACGAAGGAGGTTTTCCGGCAGCAAGGCTATCTCTTTCATGATGTTAGCAAGTCTGTAGGAAAAACAAAAGGGAATCATAGTATAATCAAGTATACATATGATGCAATTTGCATGCCAATTTGAACAGTAAATTAATGAATGGGGAGGCACAATTTTTAGAGTTTCAATATCAATCTAATCGAGTATCAATAAGTAAAAAGTATCAATTTTTACCACAGTTCCCAGATAGTTAATGGTGTTGATGATACTACACCTTGAAGGCTTATATTTGCTTACAATTGGTACGTAGTACATGAGAGCAGGGTCGCGGTCAATGCTAGTGTATTCAGTTACCTACCACAATCCCTACCTCAATGTTTACGAAACGTCAAGTTACAGACGTATATCTTAAGAGTATTTTTGCACACGGTACTGAGAAGGACTCAATGGTAACTCTATTTTTTTTTCGTATTTCCACAGTGTCGTGTGACGTCGTTTTGACAGTGTGACGTCGTTTTGACAGTGTGACCTAAACAGTGAACCTAATAGAAGTTGACTAGGCATAAAGTATTACAGTTAATTACGTGCATTCAAATACTGCACGGGGAAAACTTAAGTTTATGGAATGCTGTCGTCTTCAGACAAAAACTGGGATCCGAAAATTGCGAAATATGAATCGCGGAGAAGTGCCTAATTTTGATGGATTATAATTCCTTATTAGGCAGAGAGGTCTTGGAAAAAGACTAAGCTTCCAAAAGCTTGATAGACCGTCACCCCACACACCTTAAAGAGTCACACAAGCGGACATACGTTTATTTATGCACATCGTACGAATACCACATAATATCATTTGCAATGATAAATTATTCTTCTGTTTACCAAACATGACGCACATTCAAACGTCATTCGTTTTAATCTCCTTCAAAATAGAACGTCATTTTGCTATATGTCTATGTTAGTCATGGTCATATGTTTATTTAGTTGTAGTTCAAGGATACTTGTCGCCCATTGGTCGAAATTAGACCGTAGTTTATAGAATTTACAAATAGATTATTTTGCTCAACCTCAATATATAATTTAACGTTCTGCAAATTCTTCTCTATTGTAGTACTATGCCAAATGTCACGACTCTCCGTGCGTGTGAAGTTCCAAATGCATTAAAATTCGAAAATTTTCGTTTCACTTATTTATATCGTTTGAAATATAAACTCCTTACCCCATTTTACGTTTCTTTCATTCACGTATTCAATACGTTGGAAAATAACTCATCTAAAACGTGACTCCAAAGCCGTGAAATATATTGGTGTCCAAAATCAGCCTTATCTATTAATGTCTTAATATATCAAAATGCCTATTGCGACGTTATGTTACACTGGTAATCAACAAGAATAATTGCTCTTACATATTACATGTAATTTAATAGATCATTACAAATTGTATTATATTTTTAGATTCAATTAAAATAAAAGGCTAAGAACGCAACGAATTGACAAACAAAATTTGTAGGGCACTAAAAATAAACCGGTTTGTGGTAATCTACTTCTCTCTTCGCATATTATTAAGGAGGGCCTCATTAAACTATTCAAATCCACAAAACGGGTAGAGGATGCATTTATAAATATTGTATGAGATTTTAAAATTGCGCATAAGTTGACATGATGACGAAAATTTTAATAAACGAAGGCGAAGACATTAGCATACACTAGCCTCAAAGGCAGAGTTTAAATAAAGTTTAAATATTAGCCGAACACTAAGTAATGCAAAATATGAATAAACAAAAGTGAACACACACTGCAATCATTTTATTTTTTTCTACATATTTTTTTTATTTTAACCAATTTGGCAAGTGAGAAAACAAAACTATGGACGTTGATGTTAGAAGTCAAATAATCTTAGTTTTTCTAACAGATTAAACTAATATGTGATAAGAATAAAAGCTTTTAAATTCATTAAAATATCAATCAACGAACAGTTAACAATCAACAATCAAGAACTACTTCAGCTCATAGTCCAATGTAGTACGTCTGGAAAACTAAAATCGAGTATAATTTGAAAATGATTATAAATAGGAACATCTCTATATCCTTTTACTTCTTTTATGTCTACATCATCCTTTCGGTTGAAATCCTATGTGTGGCGGATTTTTCTATATACACCTGTATATTGTTGTATTTCATGTGTTGTATGAAATTGAAATAAAAAACATCAATTTTCAAAAACAAATTTAAGAAATGGCTGCCTAAATAATACGAAAGTCAGGTAACTAAGCTAAACTTTACAAAACTTCTTACTTACATAACATAATTTATTTCATTAGAAATTACGAGAAACAAAAAGATTGAAACCCCATTGGCTTTTGCGCAACTCACTGTTGATAAATTTTGCTTTAAAAAAAGAATCTAAACCTTTTTTGCTTACATGTACTCAAAGTAAGGCTATTTAATTTTTATTGTAAGTACATTGTAAACAGGAAACTCAAATGTATCGATGGCCATCAGTTTAAATAAATCTATAATCCTTCTAAAGGACGCTTTATCGGTCCGATTACTTGATAGACAGATCTTCATCGGTCCGATGATCTTGATAGACAGATCTTTCTGGGCTTACAAATTCAACAACCTCTGGTCGTATCCGAGTAATCTTCTATGCATTAATACGTGAAGCAAAAACTTTGTACCCGTTTTTACGAAATTTGCGAGGACGGAGGAGTATGAAATTTCCCACAAGAAAGCTATTATTTTTTTTTAATATGCATATAAAATACATTATATCAATAAAAAAAACTTTACATGACCATAATTATTTAATATATAATTAATTATGGTCGAATTTTCGACCACTAGTACTTATTCAAAGTAATTACTATCACTAGTAATTATTAAAAGATGGCAACGCATCTGCAACCCTACGGATGTTGCAAATGTCCATGGGTGGCGGTTATCGCTTAACATCAGGTAAACAACGGGCTCGCTTGCCACCTTCGCAAAAAAAATACAAAAGAGAGAAAAGAAAGACAAACGAGGAAAAGGAAAAGGTCATATGGGCAGAATCCTAAGTCGTTCAACAAACAGCCTAAACGGTAAGCGTGTGACGTCTCAATGTTTAGCCAGCCTTCGTGCTAAATGCGAATAACCTACATCAGTCACCAATCGACCTTTGAAATTGGCAGTTAGCATGCGACGCACTCGCGATCTCTCCAAGGCTGTGTCGGGTCGTCAAACTTTTGAGCATTATACCGGCAGACTGCGCGAAAACATGTTTGTTTTTGTCGTAGCACGTAGCGATTAGGCGGTGCCTTTCAATGAGGTGTCATAAATAATCTATGTCACGGTAACCTGTTACTTGAAACTACATCGATGTGTTGAAGTTTATAGCGTACGTTTTCGGGTGCAAAAAGTAGTAGTGACAAATTAAAAAGCGATATTTAGATAAAATTGTTGGGCAGGAAAATATACAGGGAGGCAAGTGTATCCATTTTTTTTATTAAATTCTAGACATAAATAATGTTATATAAAAAATGATAAATATTTATAACTGTTTAGAGTATTTAAAATCAACATAAACTATGTCAAGAATGAACTTTCTTTTTACCAGTAACCGATTTTTAATACTACAAAATGGAAACAAACCTATCATCAATATGTACTTTGACAATGATAATTGTGATATCTGTATTAAGGAAATCATGTCAGGATTGTAATAGCACTAATAAAAAGGAATTTGCTTGCAAAGGTTTGCAAAGGCTTGCAAGCAAATTCCTGTGATGAATAGAAAAAACGTGTGTGTAATAATGTAAGCATGTAAGAAGTTATTCTTCTTTATTGTATTAAAAGAAAAATAACCAAAAATTTTATCGCCTGTACCTCTGTACTCTTTGTTTGTGAAAAAGTGATTAAACTTTAAATTATAAATTTTAGTAGATAAATGAACAAAAACTCACTGCGCGAAAATCTCGACGTCTATTTATTTTCTTTCTATCGCATTTTTAGTGTGTCAATTTATGTGTTTCAAAAAAAATTATGTGTGTCAATGCATTTTTTTTATAAAATAAAATAAGATCGATATGATAAAACCAAAAAGCCTGCTAGCAGTTGTCGTTCGACGAGCTTTTATCGAGATTTTCCTGTTAAATGTGGAAATTTAACAACTGATATTCACTTGACCCTAAACTTGTAAACTTCAATTTATCTAACAACCGTCAATTACATAGTAGCGTCGATACAATGTAATGGCTGATATGATAATCAAGTACACACTTCTTCTTAAGCCATTTAACAATCAAATCATTATAATAAAGAAGCCAAAATCCAATTCTTTTATTTTAATATTTAAAAAACCTTACCCATGTATACAAACAAGGCTGTAAAACCGGTAAGTAACATCTGAGTCACTTTGTGAATCAGTGTTTATGATGTCTTAAGTAATTTGGTTACCTTTGTTAACGAAAAAAAAAAACAAGTAAACACAATACTAACAAAGTACTTTAAGATATATTACCATATTGATTTACTTAGAGACCGATCTATTCCTTCGACATAAAAAAATAAAAAAGTTGTTCGAGACTTTTTTATATTTACTATTCTTATGTTCAGCAGTGGACTCAAACAGACTGAAATGATGATGATGAGAAAAATTTACAAGAAAACTACGTGTTGTAAAGTAATATACAAAAAAGAAAAGAGGAACTGTTGCGTTGAGTTTTTGTTAATACCAGTTGTTTAGCGAGAAGCGTAAACCAATAACTGATGTTAAGAAAGAAAGAAATATTTATTTGGTACATAAACAACAAAACATAAAGTAAAAACGAAATAAAAAGAACAATTAAAATTTAGAAATCAAGTTAAGTGATTCAATTTATGAATATCTTCCCAGGAACGTTGAAAACCACTTTCACCGTACTGTTAACGCAACGTTAACATGAAATCTATTGAAACTATACGCGATGCGCAGGAATTAGTCATCCTCAACGAACAGTCGAACAGAATTTCATAAATTGATGTGTTTGTTCACGCATATTTGTGACTTTAACAATATTTATTCTCTCGAGACAACAGTTAAGGGAACAACTTGTTA